TAAAGAGTTGAATTGTTTTTTGGCTATTTGAACTGCCTCAAATCGTTCGTTTCACCCTAGCCTTCCCGTTCTCGTTGTCGTCGTCGTCGTCCTCCTCCTCCGAACTTTCATCGGAGCCGTAATAGTCCTCGTAACTGTCATCGTAGTTCTCCTCTCTTACCACACAACCATTATCCGTATCACCTGAAAGTGTTGGTCTTGCTTGAGATTTTGGCTGCTTTCTAGAAATTTTTGTCAATTTCATTCGTCATTTCAGTACCACTCGACAATTTTGAATGAGTTCATGACAAGATTGATGAGTTACGTAGCTTATCATTTTGAAATTTGCATTATAATGAAATTAGATTCATAGCGATTTCGAAAAAAACGAAAATTTTACGGTTAATCTTTCACTTACACGTCGATTTTTGACATGAGAAGTAGTTTGCGTTGTATTTCGTGCACTCACTCGGTACCCAGCTGGTCTTACCATCAGCGCCCACTTTAGCAATTACACAAACTTGTCCGTTCACATTGAGCGTATCGTTCCAAAGTGAGAAACTTTGTGCAGAAAGCTGAAAATTATGGAGTGTTTTTCGAGCACTTCATAGCGATCACATTCAAAAACGATCGCAAACGCACTCAAAAACAACCGCAATCAGAAACACATTGAATTTGAAACCACTCATTAAATTAGGAATTATAAAGTGTTTTTGTGAATAACGATACCGAATGATATGAAAAATATCAGTGAGATCGGAAAGGTGCGATTCCAGCATGGCGAAATTTATGTATCATGAAATTGATTACATGGAGTACATCGTTCAAATTCTTCCATACAACCAGTCAAGAGAATAAACTTCCGCAAAACTTACCCAACAACGAGATGGTAATTATAATTTCTTAATTTATTCAAACAGAAACGACAAATTTTTGATGAGCAGATCATGAACATGAATTGTAAATTAAGGAATTGATGAACCGATGAATGAGCTAATCAATTTTGATTATCTCACCGAAACAACAGCTGAACTAAATTTCGAACACCGCTCATTTTTACTACTAATTGGAGAATTTGTATTTGTGACAAAGCGCACATAATGTTTGGTGATAAATTTCGAGGTATGATGATCTGAATGCAATGAGCAAATTCATAAGAAGAGTTTATTGATAGATGATCTAATCAAAATCAAAATCAGACTCATCAGAATCATCTTCAGGAAG